AGATTCAAGCCTTCCCCGAGGGATCCTGTTGAGGCCTGGGGCCACGCACGCCCCAAATTCCTCATTCCGTTCATAATTCTGGTCAATAAATGCAGGCACTCACCGAAGGTGGGCTCTGTTCATGTTGGGGGATGAAGGGAGACCCTGGCCGGCTCCTGGGGTGGGCTGGGATCTCCCAGAGGGGCAGCAGTGGCTCCATGGTCCCCCCTTTGCCTCCGAGGAGAGCCAGGAGCCACAGAATCCCTCTTGTTCCCGTGCTCCGTGCTGCGGGGCTTAGGGAGAAATAGTTATTTTCTGCTAAATCAGGCTGTAAGTGTAATTGCCACGTAATCTCGGGGAACATTAAATTACCAGCTCTTTATTTGCTGCAGCGTGCAATTACCACAGCGGTAAAGAGCAGGTTGTGCGGTACCGCTGGTATCCGACGCGTTAGCTGACAGCTATACCCTTATTTGGGTGGCGCTGGGAGGGCGAGAGGGGCTCAGCTTCGCTGGCTGAGTGGATTCCTGTGCCCGTTTCCCCCCCGCTAAAACCTCCTGTCTCCTCGTTTTTTTTGCAGCGTTGTCCCGATGGGAACGACGGCCAAGGAGGAGATGGCTCGGTTTTGGGAGAAGAACACCAAATCCAATCGTCCCTTGTCCCCTCACGTCACCATTTACAAGTAAGAGCCTCCTTGGTGTCACACCGGGGCACACAACAGCGCTGCTGTCCCCTTGTGCAGTGGGGCTGAGGCTGGTCCTGCTGTCACACACAGAATGGCTCGGTTGGAAAAGCCCTCTGAGATCATCACGTCCAACCGCTCCTGTCTACCCCCTAAACCATATCCCTAAGTACCTCATCTACCCGCTCTTTAAACACATCCAGGGATGGTGACTCCACCACCTCCCTGGGCAGCCTGGTCCAGCTTCTGACGACCCTCTCAGTCAAGAACTTCCTCCTTATCTCTAACCTGAACCTCCCTTGGCACAGCTTGGTGCCGTTTCCCCTTGTTCTATCCCCTATCACCTGGGAGAAGAGCCCAGCACCCACCTCTCTACAAGCTCCCTTGAGGCAGTTGTAGGTGGTGATGAGGTCTCCCCTCAGCCTTCTCTTCTCCAGGCTAAACAAGCCCAGTTCCCTCAGCCGCTCCTCATCAGGCTTGTTCTCCAGAGCCCTCCCCATCCTTGTGGCTCTTCTCTGAACACGCTCCACAATCTCCACATCCTTCTTACAGTGAGGGGCCCTGTCCTTCAGACAGGGGACTCTGAGACCCTCTACATCCCCATCTGGGGGTGTCACAGCCCCCCTGGTGCTATTTGCACAGGGTGTCCCTCTGCGGGACTCTGGGGTTACCTCCTTGGTGAGGTGACCCTTTCTTTATGGCCACCCCCCAAGTTCTCACCTTTCCCCATGAGCCTGGATGCCCAAATCCTGCCCCTGTGTCCCTAAACTGCAGGACCTTGTGGTCTTCTCCTGCTTCATCTCCCTTTAAGCCTCCTCAGCAAACGCCCTTCCCCTTCCCAGCCCGTTTGCCATTCCCCCGCTGCCTCTGCACATTCCCAGTCTCTCCCCTTTTGCTCTGCCTGGATTCCTCGAATAACTCCGGGTGCAGCGCGGAGCCGTCGAGGAACAGTGGGGCCGTGCTTTGGCCCTGCTGCCGTGCCGCGTTTCGCTGACAAGGTCCCGTTGTTTTCCAGGTGGTCCTTGCCCATGGCCATGTCCATCACGCACCGAGGCACCGGCGTCGCGCTCAGCTTAGGTGCGTGCATCTCCCGGACGGGGGCTGTGGGAGGGGGGACCCCTCTGGTTCGGAGATGTGACACCAGGAGGACGTTTCTCCCCTCTGTCCCCATCCCGTTCCCCGTTTCCCCGTCCCCTCTCATGCTCTGAGTGGCCCCAGCCCTGCGAAGGCAGCGACGTAAAATCCTTTGCCACGCTGTGACCTGGCCTCGCTGCTTTCTCCCATGTTTCCCTCAGCCTGGAAAGGGCCCATCTGCTGCTCCAGCTCTCAACCTGTCCCTCCCGTGGTGGTTTTTGCTGGTTTTACCCTTACAGGAGATGCTGTGTGAGGGAAGGGCTGTCGGGCAGAGCTCAGGGGCTTTTCCTGGGCATAGGTTGAGTTTTTCAGCTCTCTGGGAGCAGCTGCTGCTTCCCCAGTGATCCCAGTGGGAAAGAAGGTGGTGCCAGCATCACAGAGTCATCAAATGTATTGGGTGTGAAGGG